ACACACACACACACACACACACACACACACACACACACACACACACACACACACACACAGAGTTAAAATTAATTATTTATAAAAATATATTCACACAACACAAAGAAGCAAATAATTCTTTAAGTAAATAAAACTTCCTGACACTTTCCTTTGATTTATTAATAATAATAATACTAGTACTAGTATAATAGTTAATAATTTCAGCGATGGTGACGTCAGGTGATTTTCCATGCGTCTGACCTGCAGGTGGACGGTGACGGGTCGGGAGTTCACTTTGCTCTCCCAGCTCTGGAACTGATGCTCCAGCCTCAGCAGCACCGAGTCTCTGTCCCACTGTGTCAGTGTCAGGAGGTGAACAGCAGGGGGCAGTGCAGCCTGAAGACCTGAGAACTACGGACCACAAACACACACACACCTGATTTGACTCTGTTCCACCAGAGCGTTCGTCCATGTATTTACAAAAAAGTCTGTTGGTGTATGGAGACAAACACTTTACAAGTTCACATTAAAAGCTACGAATAAAAAGCGAATTGTAAAATTGTGTTGATCGGTTTCTGACCGATGACGTCAGCGACTTGTGAAGCAACATTTTCGCCGAAGTTGCGAGTTGTTGTTTCGACTTCAGATAATCAGATGAATAATTCCAACATCACACGACATCACAGTCACGTTCAATTCACTGCATAAGTTCAATTTTAACTCATCAATTATTCAATAGACTTTTTCAATTAGCTACAAAGTTTACATAAAGAATTTACGTACACTTAAAATCCAGAAACGTTTTTAACTCTAGTTTCTGTCGGGATGTTTGCAAAGTCTTTTCATCCGCTCACTCACCTCCAGTCGAGTGTCGGGGCTCAGCTGTCCGTCAGTGAATGTGAGCAGCGGCTGCAGAACTACTTCCTGTGCCAGGGGGCGGTGTGTGTCAGCAGCGACCGGTGGGCGCTCGAGAGAGAGCAGGAGGCGGCCGCGGACCACCAGCCCTTGTGGGAAGATTTTGGAGGTCTCGTTGAGAGGCTCGCCAACGCCGCGGACATCATCGTACAACAGCCGGCGGTGGAGCTGAGGGGGGGGGGGAGGAGGGTGGGGTTCAGAGTGTGTGTGTGTGTGTGTCTCTCTCTCTCTCTCTCTCTCTCTCTCTCTCTCTCTCTCTCTCTCTCTCTCCCTCTCACCATGATCTCCAGGGAGCCGTTCAGGATGCTTCCTCCTCCCTGAGAGCGGTCGGTCACCACAGTGAGCTGATCGACATCATCCTGGAAACACGAGCACGAATGAGGAGAGAGGGAAAAAAAAGACAAACAACAGATGAAGTAGTAGAAGTAGAAAAGTAAAAACAAATAAAATCCATAGAACTTTTTCGGCACCGTCCAGGGATGCGTTCAATCTCAAAATGTTTCTGGCTCGAACGACATGTTAGCAACAGCCTCCAGGAACATTTTCTCACAATATTAACTTGGGCCACCGACACCACTGAGGACGGATTTTACTGCCAGATGTGAAAAGACGTATTTAACGATGTCCACCTGTGAGCGGATTCCTCAGGACAGATGTTTTACCAGATGTGAACAGAGTCCTGGGTAGAAAAATAAAATATTTCTCTCTCATACACACACGCACCCTGATGAATGCACGGGAGTTGATGGGGAAGTAGTTTCCAGCGATGGGCTCCGACTGCTTCAGGTTCCACGTGGGGCGGAAGTCTTTCCTGCGGAGGAAAACAACACACACACACACACACACACGCACACGCACACACACACCGTGAGTTCCAGACTGCACAGTTTCACTTTCACCCAGATGTGGCCGTGGAGCTCACCTTCTCTGCAGCACCTCCCTGCCGTTGGAGTCGGTGTAGAAAAATCCAGAGGTTTGAATACTGGTGTCTAGACGGGTGATCACCTCCTTCCCCAGGCTGTCTCTGTTCGGGAACATAGTTCAGGTCCTGAATACAATAATGGTTAAAAAAAAAAAAGAAAGAAAACATCTGTCCAGATGTTTGCAGCACACGCTCACTCTATGGGCAGAGGTCCGACCGTCCACTCCAGCTCCAGAGCTCTGCTGTCGGTGTAGAGTCGAACCACCTGAGAGACCCAGGGAGAAAACCACTGCCTCACCTCCTGCACCACAGACGTCTGCGGCAGAAACGGAAACACAGTGATTCTTTCATTCACACTGAAAATCTGACAAAACTAATTAGAAACAAACAAATCTGAAATGTTGAAACACATTTTAAAAAGTCTCGTCCGACACTAACGGATGTGGCACAGCAGCAAACGGGCGTCAAAATAAAGCTGTGACATTAATTCAGTTAATTCTCCTCGAGGTTCAGCTCATTTACTCACAGAAGAAAATAAGAAATTAGTGAAAAGTCATAAAACTCTACGTGAACCTGCCACACTGCTCTCTCTCTCTCTCTCTCTCTCCCTCCCTCCCTCCCTCCCTCCCTCTCTCTCTCTCTCTACCTGCACCGTCTCCGTCTTGGCCGTCCGGCTGATGATGAAAGGTGTGGACGAGTTGGGTCTGAAGATGTAGGCTCCTGACATCTGGTCACTCTCAGAGTTGTTGCCGTCACTGGCGTTGTACCTGGAAATTGGAACGCACACACACATACACACACACACACACACACAGACAGACAGACAGACAGACACACACACAGAAACAGAAACACACACCAATGAAACGAGAGGACAGAACTGCGGGTGTCTTTTCTTTGGAGTTTTTCAGAAACACTAACCAGTAGAAATTCTGCGTGAGCTTGATGCTCTGTTTGGTCTCCAGGTTGCTGAGGCTGCTCAAGAGGCCGGTGTCTGGGTCAAAGGTCACACGTAGGAACTGGAGCACAAACACAAAGAGAATATAAAAGCACTTCATACATGTCGGGCTCATGAAATGTATACAGATGCAACAAAAACAAAAGAACTAAGTACTACTTCCCAACATGCAAAGTGAAATGCTGCCGTGTGAAGACCTTGTTCTGGATCGCTGCAGGAGTGCGGGGCCGTGTGGGGGCGGGTGGAGGCCCGTCCTGAAGCAGGGACACGGAGTAGGTGCTGAAGCCCAGAGGAGGAGCTCGAACCTGGAACACCAGCTCGTTGATGGCGAAGCCCCGGTTCTTCCTCACCTCTCGAGTGGCTCTGGACACCGAAACCACCTGGAACACATCTGGTTACGAGTATTTGTGCCACAACATGATTCTAATATCAAAATAAAATGATGACGGCAACATGACGGCGGCGTAGTGGCTCTAAAAAAATAAATCACCTGAATTCTGTCCTGTCACCTCAAAGATTAAAGTCGATTATTACAGGAGATGATTTGTAGGAATTGTTTTATTTTATTTACGACTTATACAAAAGTAATCACGCCAGAGAAAATGTGTTATGATGGGAGTTTAAAACAAGTACTTCTACTTTTACATACTACGTCAAACCCTGTGTTTAACTGTCTCATATTTAAATGCTGTCACTCACCTCACAGTCCACAGTTTCGCCTTTAGCGTCAGACACCGAGTACGATGTTCCGTTCACAGGCAGCCGTACGGGCCAGGTGACGGGGCGAGCGAGAGGGTTGTACACACTGACTGAGAACTGAGAGAGAGAGAGAGAGACATTAGATTATGTCCAGGGGACGGAACGCAGCTTCAGCTCATGCAACTTGTGTTTGAGTGTGTTTCACCTCTTTGCTGGACTCGGTGAGAGGACACACGCTGATGTTGAGGTTGTCACAGTAGATCCGTTCAGCAGACGAGCGACTCAGAGCAGCCAGACTGTTACTGACCACAACCTGAGAGAAAACACCACGAAATATATATGAGCTGAAGCCCAGAGAGGAAGTCCAACATGGAAAAAACAAGTAGTTTCAAGACGGAGCTGAGGGACATCATGACGTTTCACCCCGTTTTTCCATCCTCACATAACTACAGCCACTGAGGGAGGAGCTTATTGATGTGAAGCCTGGATCACCTGACAGCGCTGCCAGCCGTTAGCGAGCCGCCGGGCGTAGTCGTTAGCTACGTGCTGCTTCTCTGTGCCCGACACGGCATCGTGATGCTGAGCCACCGCCATGGCTTCCTCTGCCAACGACAACACAAATGAGACGCCTGGTCCATCCCAGCATTATGACACAGAGAGGACACACAGACCATCAGCAGCTCACACATGTTTAAAAAGGATATCTGACCACAACTGAATGTCGTCGTAATGTTTAACGATAAAAGGTGATTTAAAGAAACGGCTCTCACTCAAGGTCTGACTGTCGCCTCCCCCGAAGGGTCCCTTCGTGGACACCGGTCCACCGAGCACCTCCAGCTGGTTACACGTCTAAAACATGAAGAAACTTAGCTGCACTGTTAACTCACAACAAAAAATCCTCGAGTGTAAAAAGACTTTGGTCCCCTGACTCAAGTTCTCCTCTCGTGAAGACGGAAACACAAATGAACGTGCGTTGGGAATCAAACGTTTACCTGCAGGTTGCTGTTGCTGACCCTCTCGTAGCGTTTCAGGGCCGGTCGGCTCGTAAAGAAGCCCGTCCAGAAATCATGAGCGCTGTCTGCGTAGGGGAAAAAGTCGTCCGTCTTCAAAGCCCTGCGTTGTGAAGACAATAATGTTACAGGAAATAAAAACATGTGTAATCTGTGTATAATCCGTTTAAGAGCTGCTACCAGGTGAGGTTTGCTCGGTGCAGTTCCTGGAGGTAACAGGAGGGGGTGGAGTAGAGCAGGTTGACTTTGCTGCCGTTCGCCTGCTGAGCGTTGACGTAGTGGATGAGCTTGTCCAGGTTCTTGTACCACAGGTTGGCGTTCTCATACTGGAAGTCGGAGCCCATGGTCATGATGATGTGATTCGTCTTGTACTCGCCGGCCTGAGAGAGGAAACGTCACAGGACACGAAGATCAAGAATCAAGTTTGGACATTTCAGGTATTTTGTAAAATCTTGTGACAGAAGAAGTAGTTTGTTAAACAGAGTTTATAATAAAACTCTGTCTATGTTTGGTGAGTTCCGTGTGTCGGACCTGATAGTTGGCCATGGTGAGGAAGCGCGTCACCACATCGTCAACGTTATAATCCTCCAGGTCCGGGTCGTCTCTGATTGGGGGGTCGTCACAGAGCTGGTCCCAGCAGAAGCCCTCAGGGGGGTTGTAACCGTTGGGAAGGATTCCTGTTTGATTGGGCAGCAAAGGTTAAAGGATCAATAAATATTAAAATATTAAAATCTGTGTCCGAGATATGAAAAGTTTCAATTTACAGAATGAACCTGAAACATGTTTACATTTAGCTCATTCTACTTCAAGTTCTACATATTTGACATCTCACGAATCGTTCAGCATCAGAAGTGTTTTAATTCCACCAAACATTCATATCAGTTCGATTCTACTGAAACGGACGGACCCTCAGAGGAGTAGCCGTGTTTGTGCCGGAGGTTTGTTTACCGGTGAAGAGATCAGCCATGGGCGGGGTGAGGCTGTCAGACGCTCGCCACAGGAGCTCCTGCTCCTTCGCCATCCTCCTGCGAGCCTGGTCCTGGTAGTCGAGGCGACCGAAGAAGAAGCCGTCGTATCCCATCTGCTCAAAACATACAGCACACAGTGTGAGAGGGAAGCACCGGTTAGCTTAGCTTAGCAAACAACTAGCCTTCAGCTTTTTTCACGACATAAGATAAAAGTTTGTAAAAACTATTTATTCCATTTGTAGGAAAAGATGAGTCTATTTTTAAATACGCAAATTTTACATTTGTAAATTAGCAAAGTAATAATAACACAAATAGAGCAACAAAATATGTCATTACAATAAGCAAAGAAAAACATGAGAAGAATTCTCTTTATTTAAAAAGCCCAGAGAAGAAGAATGTTATAATAAACGATGGATTTCGATTATTATGAGACGTTAACTTCCCTTTTTACAGTTTTTTATTTGATCACAAGTACAAGGAACAAATTCTAACTTTGTCACACTGACAAAAAAAATCTGTGGTATTGAGAAGTTAGAAGTAAAATAATATTTCAGAAAAATGCACAAACACATTTCATTCATATTTTCCGCAGAAGTGAACAGCACGTGGACTTGGTCTGTTGCTAGGTTACCTGTGCAAACATGGAGGCGTGTTCCCGGGCGTGGCCAAACGGGTCGATGTGCCAGGCCACTCTGGGACGACCACAGGGCCCGAACGTCTCGTTGAGGAACCTCAGGCCCATGGTCATCTGGTCGATGACGGCGCTGTAGTGGGTCGTGGCCTCGTCGCTCATACACCAGCCACCGTTCACAAACTCCAGACGACCTGGAGGGACGGAGGAGGACGAGTTCGTCGCCAGGTTATGGACTGAAGACTTTCCAGAGTGAAGGCAGCAGGTGAATCGGTCACGTACCTTCATCCACCAGCTGTTTGACCGTCTGCTGGACACTGGAGCTCTGCTGTTTCCACCAGCGGAAGAAGAACGCCGTCTCCACGTAGATGAACCTCCTGTCGGGATTCTTCAGCAGCTGATCCACCACCGAGTCCAGGATGTACTGCACCCCCGCATGTTGGATATCGTTACGGTCTTCACGAACACACACACATGAACACACACACACGTAAGTATGAAACTGATCATTTCAGTGTTGACCAGCGACTGAGCGAATATGACACAAGTGATTTTCATCTTGAGTCTGTGGACGGAAAAATAATAAAGTTCTGGTGATTTTCATCATCGGGACGGTTTAGAAATGAGTCGTACAAAACGATTGTGTGTAACGTTTTGTACAGACGTGTGCAACAGCTCGTGGATGTCTGACGGGAATTCATTCAGACATTCAGTTTGTTTACGTCTCCGTGAAATGACACTTTCTTAAATTTGGTAATGTTTGTAAAGTTTAACATCTGTGTGTGTGTGTGTGTGTGTGTGTGT